TTTCCTTCCTCTAACCAGATGAAACTGGAAGGATGAGACAGGTGAAAGAACCTGTTCTGGGAGTTAAGAAGTCTAGATTTGAGCCATGGTTCTGCCACTGACCCTCTGTGTGACCTTAGACAAGTCGTAACATCATAGTATAGAAAATCTGTGACTGTCATAGATTTATAGATTGCTACTGAAAAATAGACTGTCCAACTTGAAAGGATCCTTCAAAGTCACATGTGGCAATACCCTTTATGTCACAAAGGAGGAAACTGAATTTTGGAGGGGTCAAGAGATTTACCCAACAACATACACCTAGTAGATCTGGAATGACAAACTAAGTCTCCTGACTCATAGTCCAGTGCTCTTTCAAAGAACTACACAAACCCCTAAGTTGTTGTGGTTTTTTATTCAGTAAATATTTATTAAGTTTCTACTATATTCAAGGCCTTGTGGATACAAATAGGGATACAACGATATGTTTCCTTGTGTACTCTGAGTCTTTCACCTATCTACAAGTGGGTAGCATAGTTTGTTATCAGTCCTCTGGAATCATGATTGGCCATTACCCTGATAAAAGTTCCTAAGTCTCTAAGTTGTTTGTCTTTACAATATTATTGTCATTGCATAGAGTGTTCCACTGGTTCTGGTCATTTTATTCTGCCTTGGTTCGTACAAGTCTTTAAAGATTTTTCTGAAACCATTCCCTTTACCAGTTCTTATAGCCCACTATATTGCATCACATTCATATACCATAACTTGTTCTGACATTTATGGGCACCTCTCAGATTCCCATCCTTTGCCATTTCATTTCAAAAAGAGCTATATATATTTATACACATCCTTAGAGTTTGTTTGTTTATTTTTTTTTACTTAGGACTAATCTCTCTCTTTACCTGCCCTCCCTCTAATTCCCCTTTCCCCTCTCACCACTTTCCTCTCTATTTCCCTGTTGAGTGAAAAGCATTTCTTTTATTTAAATTTATTTAGAACTTTATTTTTCCCTAGTTACATGTAAAAACAATTTTTAACATTTGTTTTTAAAACTCTGGGTTCCAAATATTCTCTCTTCCTCCTTCCTTTCCTGCCACCCCTATTGAGAAGGCAAACAATTTGATATAGGTTATAAATGCATAGTCAAGCTAAACATATTTCCATATTAGTCATGTTCTAGAAGAAAATAAAGACCAAAACTTAAAAATTGAAGAAATTTAAAATTTAAAAGGTATTCTTTGATCTGTATTCAGATTCCATCAGTTCTTTCTCTGGGGATGGATAGCAATTTTTATCATAAGTCCTTCAGAACTGTCTTGGATCACTGTATTGCTGAAAATAGCATTCACAGCTGATCATCTTACAATATTGCTGTTACTTTGTACACAGTACATTTCGCTTTGCATCAACTCATGTAAGTCTTTCCAGGTTTTTCTGAGAGCAACCTGCCCATCATTTCTTATAGTACAGTAATATTCCATCAAAATACCACAATTTCTTCAATCATTACACAATTAATGGGCATCCCCTCAATTTCTAATTCTTTTTCACCAGAAAAGACCTGCAATAAGAACTTTTATACATATAGGTCCTTGTGAAAAGTATGTCTTTAGCCACCTGAGTATGTGTATGTGTGTATTCTCTACTTTGACCAGTTCAAGTAAGAGTGAGTTAGTTTCAAGTGTCAGTCACTCTCCCAACCCCCATCTTGTTTGCATAGATTTCTACTACAGGACCTGATTAAGTAAGATAATTTCCCCTAAATCTTCCTTTTCCTTCCCCCTCCCCCCAGTGTATTCTTTTCCCCCTCTCTTTCCATCCTTATTTTAAGATAATCAGGTTGTAACAAAATCACTCTCAAGACTTCTGTCTAATTACATTCCCTCTATGACCCATGTTGATAATCGTGTTCAGAAGAGACATATGTATCATCTTCTGATTTAGAGTGTAAGCAGTTTATACTTCTTTAGTCACTCATCGCATTTATGTTCACTTGTGTTTTATCTTTTTTACATTTCTCTTAACTTCTATGTTGGAACTTCACGTTTCTACATCGTTCTAGTCTTTTCACCAAGGAATGTTTGGTAGTCTTCTATTTCATTAAAGATTCATTTTTTTCTCTGTAGAATTATATTTTGTTTTGCTGGTTAAGTTATTCTTGGCTATAAGTTTATATCCTTCACATTCTAGAATATTGTATTCTAAGCTCTCCACTGCATGGTGGTGGCTACTAAATCATGTGTAACCCTACTCTGGCTCCTTGGTACTTGAATTCTTTCTTTCTGTTGGCTTCAGCATGTTTTTGTTGACCTAGAAGCTCTAGATTATGACTATAATATTCCTGAGGGTTTTCATTTTGAGGTTTCTTTCAGGATGAGATCAATAGATGCTTTCTATTTTCATTTTTCCCTCTGTTCCTAAGAGATATGAGCAGCTTTCATTTAAGATTTCTTAAAATGTGAGGACTAGACTTTTTTTTGTTATACATTTCAGGGATTCCAATAATTCTTAAATTATCTCTTCTCAATCTGTTTTCAAGGGCAGTTGTTTGTGCTGTGAGATACCTTCCATTTCCTTCCATTTTTTCAGACTTTTGACTTTGTCTCAATGTCTTGCTATTTGATGTAGTCATTGGTTTCTATTTGATCCACTCTAATTTTCAGAGACTGTCTTCCTTGGGCAAGGTTTTGTACCTCTTGCAATTCCCTTGCCAATTCTTTCTTCTATAGTTCTCCCTTATTTTTCATTTTTTCCTGTAGCTTTCATTTCACGCATTAAAAAAAAAACATTTTAAACACTTAAAAAATTCTTTGTTTCATCTGTTCCAGGAATTTCAGTTGAATTTTTGTCCAAACTGTGTTTTTCTTTGAGGCTTAGCTTGTAAATACTTTAGAATTCTCTTCTGTTGTGTTTGTGTCTTGACTATTCCTATCATCATAACAGTTTTTTACAGTGGGATTTTTTTATTCTTGGTTAATTTTCTTTTCTAGTCCTTTTTTTTATTGTTGGTTAATTTTCCAGCATATTTTCTCATTTCAGAATCAATGTTAGGGCTAGGCTTTTGGCACTTTCAGAGGGAAGTTCTGGCCCAGTCCTAATGCTACTTTCTTTGGGGTATTAAGTATTGTCCTCTTAGTATTACAAGGAAAGCTCAGTCTGGTGACCTACAAGCTCTCAGAGTTTTGCAGTCCCAAAGTGATCTGATACTGGACTAAGTCTGAATCTTTCCCCTCCTGACCAAGAAGTCAGCTCCTGGTTAGACTTAGCATGTGCCAAGCCTTCATAGCAGCAATATCATCCCCTTGTAGGCTAGCTTAGTTTTTTCCTTAAAAGGTAATGAAACCCATCCTCAAGATTTAATTCATCTAGGGGATTAATTTTCAGACCACTGACATGGCTCCCTGGTCTCCTGAGTACAAAATCTTGGCCACAAGGGTCAGGAGCTCCTTCTTCAAGACTCAGACATGCTTCTGATTAGGCATGATGTCAATGGCAGAGGCAAGGAAACTGTGCCCAACTGAATCAATGCTAAATCTTTGTTGAATATGCTTTTCATGCAATTGTTAAGAAAACTTCCTTATGTTAAGGTTTAGATTACCTATTTGTGTCCCATTACATCCTAATATTGAAACCTCACTACCAGAATAGTCTGGATCAGGCCTGGCCTTGAGCATGTAGCATGTCCCATATTAGGACATGAGAGATCTGAATAGCTGTGTCACAGACTGGCATGTGTCTGAAAGCAGATGGAGCAGTTGATAGAGTGCTAAACTTGGAATCAGGAAGACCTGAGTTAAAATGCTGCCTCAGGCCCTAATTCTCTGTGTGACTTTGGGCAAGTCACTTGACCTCTCTGTGCCTCAATTTCCTTATTTGTAAATGAGAGAGATGGTCTTAATGTTTTCTAGGTTCCATTATAACTCTAAATATATGATCCTACAATGCCAATTGTACCCTTTGTCTTGATATCAATAAATTATGACCATGTAAGTTCCTTGTGAGTATATGGGAGATGATCAGAAGATCTTCATTCACTTGTGAGGATCCCCAGGCCAAGGCCACCTCTCCCTTTTCACTCCTGTCTTTTTGCTATCAGGAGACACCCTGTGTTCCAGAGCTAAGGCCCAGCAAGCAAGCTGCGCCCTGAACTTGGCATAACAAGAACCCATTGCACTCACCCTCTGGATGAACTCTGCTGTAGCTAAACCCCAGGACTGGCTCAACACACCTCAGACAGACACCTGCAGGAACCATGGTCTGGGCATGAAGCCCTGCTATGAATAGACTTTTTTCACTAGGCAAACTTTGATCCTCACAAAGAACCTGTTAGATAGGTGCTATTAGCGTTTTTATTTTACAGTTGAGAAAACTGAGGCAAACAGAGGATAGGTTACTTACCCAAGGTCACATAGCTAGTAATGCCAGGGGCCAGATTTAAAGTTGGGTCTTCTTGACTCCAGGACCAGTTCTCTATCTACTTCACCAACTAGATGTCACACACACACACACACACACATATACACACATACACACACACTAAGAAACACAGACACACAAAGGATGAGAGCCTAGTGGATGGGGGAAAGAATGAGGGAGTCTATGGAACACAAACCACCCTAGTGAGATTCTAAGAACACACACAAACACATATAGGAGGAAGACTGAATAGGGACCCAGACACCAAGGACAGAGACCAGGAGCACAAACACAAAAGGGAGACTGGGAGAAGGGGATACACAAGGCTGAAGGAGGGAAAGGTTGGGGACTGATGGGGAGGACATAAATATATTTACTCACTATATAATGGGGGTGAGGGACGAAGAGGTAGAATCACCCATAGCCCTAGGCATACACAGAACAGAAGTTGGGGGTTGAGTGGGAGCAGGCCAGGTGAAATTGTCTGGCCAGGGAAAGAGTCCACCTCTAGGCAAGTTAGGCAATTGGGAAGAGGTCTGGTTAGGGCTTGAGTGTTGCAATAGATCACCTGAGAACATGATGTAATTCAGCAGGTGGAGCCCATGGCCCCTATATAGGATATGCTTCTAGGCTCCTGTGAACTCAGGACACCTACTGCTCTCCATTGAAATCTTTCAGTTTCAGCTTCAGCTAGAGGTAAAGAAGTCTGATCATGAGGACTCTTGGCATCGTCCTGCTGATCTCCCTGACTCTGTGCTGCTTCTTGGGTAAGTTTCTCCTTGGGCATCCCACCCTCACATTAGGGCCAGTAGCCCTCAGATAGCCCTTCCTCCAGAGCCCAATTTGACTCTAGCTGCACCCTCATGGGAGTTTTTAAAGGTTAAAGAATAGAGACTCAAAGCTGGTGAAACAACTGCATTAAGAGAGTGCCTGAGGCTGGAAGCTTTTTTCAAGACCATGCTGTGTGGGGGGGAACAAGAGTTTTTTTTAGTCCTGTTTCACAAAGGAGAAAACAGACATTAGATAGGTGAACTGGAACACAACTAGGAGGTGGGAGAGTCCACCTCTGAATGTAGATCTTCAGGTTATAAGACCCAGAATACAGACGGCACCTCTGAGGACCTGGGTTTGGGCTATAGAGAAAGGACATTGACAGGGATATCATAGACTGGATTCCTATACTAGATAGGAGGTTAGATGAGAATTTTGACTTACATTTATGGAAAAAGGAGACAGAGACAGAGAGACAGAGGCAGAGGCAGGAAGACAGACAGACAAACACACAGAGACGAAGACAACTAGGTGGCACTCTTGGATTCAGGAAGACCTGTGTTCAAATCCTGCCTCAAACACTAACTAGCTCTGTGGCATCATGCAAGTTACTTAATGTCACTCAACCAGTTTCCTTATCTGTAAAATGGGGATAATAATAACACCTAACTTACAAGGATGTCATGAAGATATGCTGAGACAAACATGTAGAGAGCTTTGAAAATCTTAAAGTACTACACAAATGCTACCTATGATTTGCTATTGTTTTTATGATTTCATTTGATCCTAAAACCCTATAAGTGCTTTAGCCATTTTTTTAAAGTATGCTTTAATTTATATTCAAAGTTTGTTTCCTCATTGCCTGTTTTCATTCCTTCAGTTTCTTTTTTTGGCTTATTGCTATAGCTATCATTTCTAATACAATATTGCTATTGTTATTGTTTGTTCTTTGTTTCCAAAAAGTCACCAGCCTCACTCTGCTCAAGAGTCAAAAGGGTCCAGTGGCAAGATATAGATGAGGACAACTGCAGATGGCCCCATATTCAGTGGGAGACCCTGTCCTTTTCAAGCTAAGGTCTTTCCCAGATCTCGGTCTGTCTTAGGCACTGCTCACTCACTGATTAAAGCTAGGTAAAAAATGAAGCCAAACAATGGTCTTTTTCACCTAGTCAAAAGAAAAGAAAAATCAGTCTGGAAGGGGAAAACCCTCCGGGTTTCTGGCCAAAACAGAAAAAATAATTGCTATTTACACTCACTCTGAGCCATCAAACCCCAAAAAAGGAGCAAGTGAGACTTGAACTAGGACCTACTGCTTGCCAATCAATGAGAGCCAGAGTGATTTGGGTTTAAGGTATGGTCAAGGAGCTCCATTTGAATCCCAATGGGCTTTATCAAAGCCTGAGCTTCCAATGCTGTATTTCAAAAAATCATACATGAAACTACAAGAGGCAAAAGAGTTAATTGTCCCAGTTAAAAAAATTATAAATAGATTTTATATATATATATATATATATATATTAGAATGAATAAGTAGGGATGAGAAAAAAAAAGAAACCTAGCCTGTAAATCCCAAGATATCTTTTAAGGTTTCAGTGATCAAAATTTATATTCCTTTGGGCAGAGCACCCACAGGTGAGGGCCTGACTCCCTATGTGGGCAGAGCAAGAGAAGAGAGAGGAAGGTGAGGAGGGAGGGAGGGAGGGAAAGGAAGGAAGGAAGGAAGGAAGGAAGGAAGGAAGGAAGGAAGGAAGGAAGGAAGGAAGGAAGGAAGGAAGGAGCAGCATTGGCCAAATGGAACTGGCCAGTTGAGTACCCAGTGAGGCAGCTACTATTACTCACAGATTGTTGTTTGTCCTTCTTTCTCAAAGAAGACCAATTACATTAGGAAGGTGATGTCTTGACTAGCAAGTGAATTTGGATTGGAGCCAAGATGATGGAAAGAAGGTAGGGACTTACCCCAGATCAGTTACCTCTGTCACTTATTCTGGAGTGGCAAAACACAAAAAAGAATGGAGTGAAACAGTTTTACAGCTCAAGACAATTTAGAAGTTTGGCAGGAAAGGTCTGTCACACTGGGGCGAAAAGTGGAGCACAATCCAGGGCAGACTGCACCAGCACATACCAGGCCCCAGGAAACCAGGAGCAGGCCTTGAGAGTCACTGAATCAGCATCAGCAGTGACTGCTTCCCTAGCTCTCACCCACAGATGATAAGGGGGGCAAACAACTGGTCAGAAGGAGAATACATGTGTCTCTTTGCTGGCACTGGGGGCACAACTCTGTTGCTTTGCCAGTACTAGAGCTTATGGCCACAGAGAAGTGGGGCTCCTTTTCACAGTTCCAGGCCAGAAAAGAGTGCTTTTGGTTGCTCACAGACCAGAGCACAGCTAGGAGAGTGGTAAGCACACCTCTCCTTAGATCATACCATCTTGAAAGAACTGAAAACTTGCAGGACCCTACAAGTATCTCTGAAAACAGCTGCACAAAATACCTGAAGCTTGGGACAGTGCACCCTCCACAAAAAAAATAGACTTCCAATTGAGTAAAGAGTTAAAAAAAGAAAGAAATGGGAAGGAAAATGAGCAAACAATAGAAAAAATGTTCTGACTATAGAAAGTAACTATGGTGACAAGAAAGATTTGATCCTAAAAACCCTATAAGTGTCTTAGTGATTGTTACATTTATTTTACACCGTGGAAAGAAAGTAGAGTTAAGTGAATTGCTCAGGGTCTTACAGCTGGTGACTAGGTCAGGATGTGGACCCAGATCTCCTGATCCCCAAACCAATACCTTTGCATCCACAGTCTGCTACTTGTGTTGTTTGAGGACAGATGTAAGAATGAGATAAGATGTAGTGAAAAGAGCTCTCAACTTAAGGTCTGGATACCGGACTTGGGTTCTTGGCTCTGATTGTTAGCTATGAGACCATGGGCAACTTAATTCATCCCTCTGAGCCTCAGTTTCCTGATCTGTAACTTGGGAATAATAATCATCAGTCTGCTTATTTCATGAGATTGTTGTGAGGACAGGGCTTTTATCTACACTAAAGAACCATTTCAATTGTTAGCTTCTTTTTTTTTTTTTAGGTTATATACGTGCATTTATGCAAAACACTTCCATAGTAGACTTGCTTCAAAAAACTAACTCTATTTCCCTTAATCCTATCCCGTACACCCATTCATTCTATTCTTTCTTTTGACCCTGTCACTTCTCAGAAGTATTTGCTTCTGATTACTCCCTTTCCCAATCTGCCCTCCTCTCTATCATTCCCCTACTATCTTGTCCCCTTCCCCCCTATTTTCCTGTAGAGTAAAACAGATTTCCACACTAGATTGAGTGTGTATGTTATTCCTTCCTTAAGTCAAATCCTATGAGAATAAGATTCACTCATTCCCTCTCACCTTCCCCCATTTCCCCTCCACTGTAAAAGCCTTTTCTTTCCTGTTTTTTGTTTTTGTTTTTTTTTTGCCAGATAACCTACCCCATTCTACCTCTCCCTTTCTCCTTCTCCTAGTATATTCTTCTCTCACCCCTTAATTTTATTCTCCAGATATGACCCCTTCATTTTTAACTCACCCTGTGCCCTCTATCTATCTATCTATATCTACATATGTGTACATATAATTTTTTCCCCTCCAACTACCCTAATACTGACAAAGGTCTCATGAGTTACAAATATCATCTTTCCATGCAGGAATGTAAACAGTTCAACCTTAATAAGTCTCTTATGATTTTCTCTTTCCTGTTTGCCTTTTCATGTTCCACTCGAGTCCTGTATTTGAAAATCAAATGTTCTATTCAACTCTGGTCTTTTCATCAAGAATGCTTGAAAGTCCTCTATTTCACTGAATGACCATTTTTTCCCCTGAAGGATTATACTCAGTTTTGCTGGGTAGGTGATTCTTGGTTGTAATCCTATCTCCTTTGCTCTCCAGAATATTATATTCCTTGCCCTGCAGTCCCTTAATGTAGAAGCAGCTAAATCTTGTGTTATCCTGATTGTGTTTCCACAATACTGGAATTGTTTCTTTCCGACTGCTTGTAATATTTTCTCCTTGACCTGGGAACTCTGGAATTTGGCTGCAATATTCCTAGTTTTCCTTTGGGGATCTCTTTCAGGAGGAGATTGGTGGATTCTTTCAATTTCTATTTTGCCCTCTGGTTCCAAAATATCAGGACAGTTTTCCTTGATAATTTCTTGAAAGATGATATCTAGGCTCTTTTTTTGATCATGGCTTTCAGATAGTCCAATAATTTTTAAATTCTCTCTCCTGGATCTATTTTCCAGGTCAGTTGTTTTTCCAATGAGATATTTCACATTGTTTTCTAATTTTTCATTCTTTTGGATTTGTTTTACAGTGTCTTGATTTTTCCTAAAGTCACCTGCTTCCAATTGCTCTATTATAATTTTTAAGGAAGTATTTTCTTCAGTAATCTTTTGGACTTCCTTTTCCATTTGGCCAATTTTGCTTTTTAGGGCATTCTTCTCCTCATTGGCTTTTTGGACCTCTTTTGCCATTTGAGTTAGGCTATTTTTTAAGGTGTTATTTTCTTCAGTATTTTTTTGGGTCTCCTTTAGCAAGCTGTTGACTTGTTTTTCATGATTTTCTTGCATCACTCTCAGTTTTTCCTCTACTTCTCTTACTTGCTTCTTAAAATCCCCTTTGAGCTCTTCCAAGGCCTGGGACTGATTCATATTTTTCTTGGAGGCTTTGGATATAGGAGCTTTGGCATTGTTGTCTTCTTCTGGTTTTATGTTTTGATCTTCTTTGTCACCAAAGTAAGATAATACAGTCTGACTCTTTTTGCGCTGCTTACTCATGATCCTGGCCAATTACTTGAGTTTTAAACTCTTTGTTAAGGTAAAAGTCTGCTTCCAATGTGAAGAGTATACTGTCCCAAGCTTTGGGGTTTGTACAGTTGTTTTCAGAGGTACTTCTAGGGACCTGTAAAATTTTCAGTTCTTCCAAGGTGGTATTTCCTCTCCACAGCCACAAC